TCCCCTACACTTCCCAGCCCTCTTGCACGTAGATGTGGAGGCCTGTGACTGGTTTGGGCCATATACTGTGAACAGAAGCAATCTGCCAAAACATTGAAAGAGCCAGATTTTTCTTCCTTTGCTGAAGCATGATAAGATGGCAGAAGCACAGAATGAAAGCAGCCTGAATCACTACAGCATTAGTGAAGAGTGGTGAAAGGCAGCTGCCCTGGATTGCTGCCACAGTGAACCCTGCATTAACCAGAAATAACCTTGTATGATATTAAGTTGGAGATTTTGAGGCTAATATAGCATAACCCAGTCCATCCTGATTAAATGACAAAAGAAAATCTTGTCTCTATTATAGAACTATAAATTAGCCAGTCGTTATGTTCTAGGTGACTCCATTCAAGAATGAGTCAAATATCAATCTTACAACTAGTGTTATATATCAACCCTCATTTAAAAAAAGGGAGTCATAAGAGATTATTTTGATAAAAGAATATTGCAATATTATAAATTATACCATTCAGATTCAACTTTAAGAAAAACATTAAGAAAAAAATTAATTTTTGAACTCCAAATTTTAAGTTTTACATTAAGAGTGAACTAACTCACCTTGATTAGCACTTTATATGCCACCGACCCAATTTAATTAGGAAAAGACAAAAAAAAGAAACTATTAATTAGAAATCTATATTGTCAGACTGATAATTGATGTCATTATTAATTTAAAATAAAATAAGCTTTCACACAGCTAGTTTATAAACTAGCTTATTCTTTATAAGTAAAAAGCTCATAAAGCTACTAACAAAATAATCCTAATATTTTCTGAACTTACATATACATATTTCCTACTGTCTATTCATAAAGTGGATTAAGCAGATTAAGAATTCTTATTTTGTCACTGATTAAAATCAGCTTAAGCTCTGAGGAAACTATTCTAGCAAACAAAAGAGGATCAAAAGTCTGATAAACAAGACATTAAAACATTCAGAATGGATCCATTATCTTACTATGTTGACATTCAGGCTTTGAAACAAAACATTTAATTACAACCATTATCCTAATATTCAAGGATTTTTTTTTTACCTTTAAACTTTTAGGAAGACTTTTCAAGAAGTCTTTTCTGAATTATTATAATTTTGCAATACTAGTCAATTTTTTCACTTTATTCATTTTGCATTTTTAAAACTCAATAATAAAATTACTGTAACTTATTTTTACCTTGGCACAGGTGGAAGGGCTCGTGGAGGACGCTACGGGGAGAAGAAAATTATAAGTAAAAGTCTCAGAACATCTTTACTTCATTACATCAAATCTTTTGCTAACCCTGTTCATCAAATGAAACCTAGGAAGTACTTATGAGAATCAGATGGGCAATTCTAAACTTGTCCTACCATTTCTAAATTTCATATAAAATCCCTTCCTTCCTACACTCCTTTCTATCCAGAGGCCAGGCTCTGTTCTAAGGACTACAGATACATTAATGAACAAAATAAAGAAATCCCTGCTTTTATGGTAATTCCGTTGTACTGATTAAGTATTAGAAGATATAAACGCGCGCACACGCGCGCACACACACACACACAAATGAGGATGTGGAGTGCTTCTTCAGTTTAGGGAAAGTCTCTCAGAGATATTTGAGCTGAGGCCTGAATAAGGAAGGAGAAGAAAGACAAAGGGGAGCAAATACAAAGCCTTTCAGGAGAGATAAAAGGTTTCAGATAAAAGGCCAGTAAGGCTGTGGCACAGTTACCAAGGGTAGGCAGGGGCCAGATAAATTAGGCTCTTGAAGACAAAAGAGGAAGATTCCAGATTTTGTTTTAATTCAATAAGAAGCCAACGGAGGTTTTAAACCACACAGTAACATACTTTAAAAAAAAAAAAAAAAACCACTGTGAATACAGCATGAGGAATGCGTTTTAGGGCAGAGAATTAAAAAAAACATACACCTTACAAATGATACTTTACATGAAAATTTGTGTTTGCAGTTCAGAGAGATTACAGTTGAGAAGCATTCTGAAATCTTTCAAAATAAAATACTAACAGAAATGCCTTGAAATCCGTTTAATGTTCCAAGTGTCTCATGCTGCTTGCAGAGGACACGGACTCAAAAGGGTTCCACACGACACTTAACCATTTCAAAAGTCCCGCAAAAATGACGTGTCACCCGGCCACAAGGACAACCTTTGAGCCCTCAAAAGTCGGAAGGCTCACCTGAACCCAAAATCCTAATGATTCAACTCTAACTAAGGCTCGCTTACCACCTGCTTCTTTCCCATTTTGTCTAAAGCCGCGCTTCCCGGCAGCCGCCGGCCGCCAAGCGCCGGGAGTGCGCAGCCCGCCTCCCGCCGGCTCCTGCCCGGCCGGCCGCGCGCAGGCGCTGTGCGTCATCGGACTGCGCGGCACTGGCGGCGGCGGCGCTCCGCCCCTTCCCTGCAAGAGGCGGGTGAGCGCTCGCTGTGGGAGCTGGTTGCGCCTCTGCGGTCTAGCTCTTCGGGAAAGGGGACGTCGGAGTCGGGGCTGACATGCCCGGGAAGAGAGATTCCAGGGGGCGTCGGGGAGCAACCACGGTTCTACCCATGGTTTCCCAAGTGGCTGCAGTGATGGGTTCGAGGGAGGCGGGAAAAGACCATGATGAAAAGCCTCCACTCGGAAACTGCGGTCTCTTTCCTGGGTGGCTAAACGCCCACGGGAGAGTCTGCAGGGCAGGCCTAGCTGGCTGTCCCGGAACACCCGGGGGCGGGGAAGGCGACCAGGAGAGGCGTCGTCATAGCAACACGGACCTCAGGCCCCCGGCAACTTCACGCCCGGGTCCTGGCTTCGGAACGAACTTGAAGCGCCCGCTCGGGTGCAAGCCTGTGAGCACCGACGGGGCGGACGCGCAGACGCCACGAGCGGGGCTCTCCCTCTGCGACCCCCAGCCCTGCGCACCGGCCCCGCCCCGGGGGCAACTGAGGCGTTAGGGCAGCACCCTCCGCCTCCGCCACTTCCCGTGGCCGAAGCGCCCCTCACCGCTCACCGGGAGGGCCTCCAGCCGAAGCCCCGAGTCCGCCCTCATGGCGCTCTCCCCGCCGGCCTCTGTCAGCGCAACCGCCGTCGCCCCGAGCCTGGCTCCCCGCGCCCCCGCCTCCGGGAGCTGCGAGAGGCGGGGACGTGCCCGCGTCGGGTTAGGCTGCGGCTCGGGGACCAGCTCTCCGCCGGGCCAAGCCCCGCCCTCCGAGGCGTCAGAGTTAGGGAGGCGCCGGGTTAGCCCAGCGGAAGCTTCTCGGAATCGCTCTTTTCCAGCGGTGACGTAATGAATCAGGGAGGCCGTCGAGGGCGGGGAGACTAGGTACAGCTAAAATCCAAGCCTGCAGCTGGTACCGAGAACGGACGGTCAGCAAGGCCAGGAATGCGTGGAAGAACCAGGAGCTGATAATCACTAGAACCAGAAGGTCTGGAAGGCTAAAGATCAATTAAACTCCTTTAAAAGGAAGGACTTGTGGAGCAAACTGTCAGATTCTCCAGACGCTGACTCTTCTATGCCTGACTGCATTCGAAAGGCAAGCTGCCGGCTAATCGCTACAAGAGACCCTTCCACTGCGTGAACATAATAAGCCGTAAGCACCCAGCTGACCCCTACCAGACTGAGTTTTCCTCCAACTAGGCACTCACTGACTGACTTGGCGTTTGGTTCTGTTAACTTCTTACCCTGTATCTCGTTTATTGTGTGACTTTGTATTTCTTGTGAAGCCAAGTTAAACGGGCAGTGAAATGTCATTCAATATGGAATCCTACACCTGTCAAAATTCTGTAAACCTGCTTTCTGAATGAATAAAGCTGACATTGTGGAAAGACGCAACTCATGCACTGCCTTTGTAGGGTGCTAGAGACGCCCCCCAACCCCCAAGCTCAATCTTTCAGGATGGGTATATATTGACACAGACAAATAACAGATTTCTTCCAATTGTGTGTGTGTCTGCCTGTCTGTGTTGATACAGGCAGTTCTCAAAATTTCGCCAATTGCTTATCCTCCATCTCTGTAAATCAAGCTTGGAAAAGCTTTTTCTCAAAACAACATACATCAAATCCAAGTTCATGTATTATTAAAAGTGACCTAATTTTCTTTGGTTGGGTTTGGGGGGGGTTGGGTTTAATTTTTTTTTTTTAATAACCACTTTAAGCAAAAAATAAAAAAAATTTTTGAAGTATGCACTTTGTTTTATAGTTAAGAAAGAGATTGGAGGGGTAGAGGGATGGTGTGGGTATGGGGAACATTAGAGAATGATGCAGAAGACAGATACAGGGGTAGCAAGATTGACTGGAAGTCTCAAGACCTAGGAAAGAAAAAAAAAAAGACTTCCTGGAATAGCATTCTCATCTTATGCTTTTCTCAGATAGGAGTCTCTAGGACTAAAGTTAATTGCCCTTTCCTAATTTAGGCATGACATGGATATTGGCTTTTAGGCAAATTAATGATTGTTACAATTCTGATCAGAAGAATAAATTTTTCCTTGTAGAACTGATGTATAAATGATGACGGCAGTGCCATTTCTATAAATTTTCATGTTAGATGTGAAATGTGTACATTAACTCTTTTTTCTTAGTCAGTCAAGTAGGCACTTTTTGGAAAAGCCATTTTCATAAAACAGAAATTTCATGAGGTTAAATACAGTTTCTGGAATTAAGTACTACTTATTTTATTTAGGGAAGCTCTCTTATCTGAATTGTACAAAGACCATACAAAATCTATAAAAGGTTTTCATACTCAGTGGCTTAACATTATTTGAATTCTTATCATTGCTACATATGAAGAAAAGGAAAACATTTTTTTTCCTGAAAGCCAAGAAGGTAACTCTATATGTATACAATGCAATTTTGTTTTTCAAATAAGATTAATTAATAAATTGCACCACGTTTACATCTGCATATGCTATAATGGGGCAAATACTACTGTTTTAGATTGCAGCTATTACTCCGGAGCTCTGTAGTAGATGAATATTGTTAAAACTCCAGCATTAAGCAGGAGGCCTTCCTTAAGACTCAGTATCTGAGGAAACCCATGTTGCTGGTACCCACTGAGGCTCCTCCTGAGCCTTCTGAATGGCAGACACCAACTGGGCACATGCATCTTGCAAGTGGTCATTCACAATCACGTGATCAAAAAATTGGCCAAACTGTGCTTCCATTTTTTGGGCTAAATCCTCCATCTCTTGTAGATCTTCATCCTTTATGAGAGGTAGAAAAATATGGATAGCACAGACTTAATGAGATAAATAGAAATGATGCACAATTTGTTTTGCTGTTACATTGAGTTGTGAAGCTATTGATAAAAACACTTAGGTCAAATAAATGTCTTCTATTCTAAACCACAAAATTTATGTTTTCTATCTTTAGCCTTACTTAATGTTTCCCTGGTCAAGGTTTTGCAAAACAAAGAAATGGTAGCCAGAACAATCCCCTCAACTTCCCATTTGGACTTAAATTATCTTATTCTATTATCTAAACACTCGAAGCTTTCAAACTGTATAAAACAAAACAAAACCAAAAAAAGGAAAGAAAAAGGAAAAAAATTATCAGTTGAATATAAAACTTATACATACATTTCAAAGATGGACTTTTATAAGGTAAAATAACAGTTCCTGAAATTAAATACTGGTAAGAATGGCATTATTTTGCCACTTTCAACATGAGTATGGTATGATCTGGTTCTATTGAATTAGATATACCCTAATTGTCCTTTGCTTCATGATGACATGACCTAATTCACCTTTAATATTGTCTATTTCCACTATTATGAAATGCTCATTTAATGAAGGTCAGCTGACCTTCATTTGGCACTATGCATTAAACTCATTGCTGTTATTTTCTTATTTGTCCACAACAATTAAAATAGTACAACTTGTTGCCTGTACAATCATAAACACATATACAAATGCAGGCACTGAAATGTTGTGACAGTACTCCTTTATAAGATGACCATACTTGTGACCCAGAAACAATTTTATTTTGTTAATTTGTTTAGATCACCATAAAAATGAGAACACAATTGTAAATGCTCGTAATATTCAGAGAATATATCCATGGACTCCACTATCTGAAATGCAAACTAAAGAATCAGACTTTCATAGAGTAATCACAAGAAGTATGAAGATAGAATTAACAACAAGGGATTATATAAATATACCTCAGCATCACATGTATTAAATTGGAAACAATGCAGATTAACATGGACCCTATGCAAGGAAGACATGCAAATTTTTGATGCATAAACATTTGTGATGTTTAATTTCAGTTTTATAAGATGAAAAAGTTCTAGAGATCTGTTTCACAATGTAAACATACTTAACACTACTGAACTGTACAGTTAAAAATGGTTAGGACCGGGGGGAGCCTAGGTGGCTCAAGTGGTAAGTGTCTGCCTTCGGCTCAGGTCATGATCCCAGGGTCCTGAGATTGAGCCCCACATCAGGATCTCTGCTCAGTGGGAAGCCTGCTTCTCCCTCTCCTACTCCCCCTGCTTGTGTGTGTGTGTTCTCTCTCTCTCTCTGTTAAATAAATAAAATCTTTTAAAAAAGAATGGTTAGGATGGTAATTTTTGTGTTTTATGTGTTTTTTAACATATATACACACACATACACAAATAAGTGTAGTATCTTTATCTAAGTGATGGTTATCTGGGTGCAGGCACACATAAAAATTCATTCAGCTGTTACATGTAAGATTTGTACATCTTGCTGAATATTTATGATGATTTAAAATAGTTAAGGTGGATTTAATTTTTAAAAAATTGGAAACTATTCTAGGAAGAATTCACTGATTAATCCCACCTGTCATAGGCCCTATATAATTTCCATCATCATTAATACATGTTTGCATTTAGAAATACATTTTATACAGATACCTCACATTACAGATAAGATATATTCACTACAGAATTTTTAAAAAGATCTTATTTGTTTATTTATTTATTTCTTTATTTGAGCGAGAGTATGCACAAGCAGGGAGAGGGGCAAAGGGAGAGGGAAAAGCAAATTCCCTGCTCAGCAGGGAATGGGGTGGGGGCTCCATCCTAGGACCCAGATCATGACCTGAGTTGAACACAGACACTTAATCGACTGAGCTACCCAGGCTCCCCCTTCACTTTTTTAAAGTAAATTCTCAAACTTTTTCATACAGTACATAATAAAACGTGTCAATCTTATGCACACCCAATTTCCATGTGGTTTTGCAAACTGTGGTTGGAGTTCTTTTTTTTCTTAAGCTAGACAAGAAAAAAGAAAAAAATAAGAGCAGCATCATAGCACTTATTAAACTTTATTTAATATCTACAAATCATGTCCAGTAAAATGGGTACATCATAAGGGCATTTTTAATTAGAAACAAAAATCATACTCCTTAACATAGGGATGTTGTAGAAACAATACAGTGAGTTTTTACTAGGAAAAAAAAAGTACATTGATCTATTTCTTCTGTATCTTACCTTGAACTTCATGTCCACAAAGTAGTCTGTAATGATCTTGGCATTTTTCCGAGATTGCTTCATACAGCTCATGCTAGATGGCTTTATAAATATGACATAGGGCTTCAGTTCCTGGGTTCGAGCTAATTGAATACCCTACTCAGAAAAATTAAGTGCACATTTAAAAATAGAAGTCTTAAGCTATTAGAGTTAACACGAAGGTTCTCAAAATTTCTAAGAACAGAAATCAGCAATTATTTTTAGCTAATTTATTTTTATTTATTCTCCTTTGCCCCCAAGTCCTCAAATCTAAAAATAAGTATTTTAATAATTGAGAGGGTTCTAGAATCAAAATTAAGTTTAAACTGGCTCTTCCTCTTACTAGTCATGACACCTTAATGAAATCTGAGAATGGGATTCTATACATAATTTCATGGCATAAAGACAAAGACAAACTCTAAAGGTGGATCAGTTCTGTTTCACTCTCACTTCCCTTTCCTCTTGTTATTATGTTATATTGGATACTACCGACACCTTCACACTGACCACCAGCCTTGATCCAAGGAAGAACAACTGTCTTGTCCCCTGATTCTCTTTAGTGCATGTGGTATATTTTTAAATGAGTACAAAAAACCCCAAAATACAAGGATCAAGAAAATGGAGCCTACACATTATGTACTCTTTTTTTTTTTAAAGACTTTATTTATTTATTTGACAGACAGAGATCACAAGTAGGCAGAGAGGCAGGCAGGCAGAGAGAGAGAAAGGGAAGCAGGTTCCCGCTGAGCAGAAAGCCCGATGTGGGGCTTAATCCCAGGACCCTGAGATCATGACCTGAGCCAAAGGCAGAGGCTTTAACCCACTGAGCCACCCAGGCGCCCCCATTGTATACTCTTTATCTTAACACGCTCACGTCTGCCCCATCCCACATATGGTCTCATAGAGGTAGCTGTAGACGCAACCACATAGGAACCTCCCCTCCTGGTGTCAGGCAACATCTTTTTCCCCCTGCCAATGTCCTTGATTCCTTTGCGATCAAGGTCAAAGCAGGATTCTAACTTTTTTATAGCCACCAGCTCAGTTTTCTTTTGGTATGTGAGAAGCAAGACTTCTTTCCTAACTAAAGACAAAATATTGGCAAAATGTTCCCTCACATATGATCCTAGCCCTTAGATATGGTAAGTGGTCTTATCCCTAAAAGACTAACAAAATAAAATGTCTCAACCTCAACCTACAGCATGTGCACAAAACGCATGACATTCATTACCTTGGGCAGATGGGAAACGCTCCACCACAGACATACCTGGGGCTCTAAGTCCATGACACAGATCTTTCCCTCATCAAGGACTGTTTGAACAGCGTCCACACTGGTGCCATACAGGTGGCCTTTGTACTCACCATGCTCGAGCATCCTGCAAGGGTGCCACAAGGAAAACAAGAACTCTTTCTACCAGTAAAATATTACTAGTAGTAACATAGGATATAAATACGTGGACTTTACTAGCACAAGAAGAATGAGTGGAAAATCAACAGGAGAAAAAAAAATATTAGGAGATCTAGGACTTAACTCTTTCTCCAAGTCTCTAAAATTTGCAATTCAATTCTGGTCCCACTCCAAACCCAATGAGTTAGTGTATAAGTGTATCGGTTTACATTTCCTTGCTTACTCTTCAGAAACAAAAGGAATTATCCTGGGAGCTTTGGATAACGCATAAAAATAGTGGATCTCTTTTGAAGGTAAAATAACCAAAGGGGAGAACCAGATTCTGAACGTCTAGCTTACCTGTGACTATACACGAGGCTTTCAAATACTTCTTTTGACACATAGTGATACTCACGTCCATCCATTTCATAACTCTTTTTGGAGCGAGTGGTATCTATCAAAATATGGAATTTTTAAAAGAGCTTTAGAATCTACAAAATGTTTTGATTTAGTACCAATATGCATTTAGATAAAGATGTCCAATCAATATAAATAAATGAATACATAAACAGATAAATAAAATGCTGGAACCAAAAAGAGCGATCCTGAATTGGTGATAAGAAAGAAGTTCTCACCTCAAAACCAGTTAATCTAGGGGCACCTGGGTGGCTCAGTGGGTTAAAGCCTGTGGCCTTCAGCTCTGGTCATGATCCCAGGGTCCTGGAATCGAGCCCCGCATCGGGCTCTCTGCTCAGTGGAGAGCCTGCTTCCTCCTCCCTCTCTCTGCCTGCCTCTCTGCCTACTTGTGATCTCTGTCAAATAAATAAAATCTTTAGAAAAAAAAAATCAGTTCATCTAGAAACCTTTTTTAAGTGCTCATAGTGTGGACATGAACGTGTCAGGTGTTAAGCCAGGTGGGAAGGCCCTAAGGGGTACCGGCTCTTACTTCAAAGCAGGCATGAGTCGATGATGTGTGAGGCCTAAAGGCCCCAGCACAAAAGATATCTTCTGTGTAGCAAATGCATGTCCCAAGATCCCGTTTCATTTGTCACACACGTAGCCAGATGAAACATTATTTTCCAAAGTTTACTAATAAATAACTGAAGATTTTAGAGAGTCACTAACTTGCTTGTGCATACAGACTAATGAAAAGCAAAGTTGCAAACAAGAACCTAGCTGTTCTGACTCCTCCTAGACTAGTATTTTCTGCTACACCAGATTGTCTCTGATTTGAAATGGAGAGACCCCATGACAGTCTGCAGTCTTGCCCCAATGTATTGATGGCTCAGTGAGATGGTGATTAATTTGGGGGGATCTCCAGAAGGGAAAGATTGGTGGAGACTGAATTCAGTCTTATTCTTTTTATTATATATTCCCCAACTTAAATAGTACTTGGTACAGAAACAGGAGCTCACTGAGTAACTAAAAGTGATGCATTATCTGCTCACCTATTTATTCAACTGATGTGTACCGACTCCTTCTGTTCCAGATATGTTCAGTTCTTAGAACACAAAGATGAGCAAAACACAGTTCCAACCCAGTGTCCTATGTATATTGCAAAGCTGGTAGTCCCTTCATCTGCATTACCACAATTTCTCCATGTTCATTGAAAAAATGGTGTCTTTGCATTTGCCAAAGTTTAAGAATGAAATATATGAACACGTGATAATACCAGCGCATGGGAATGACCAAGTAGGAGTTGGAATAGGCCCTAAATGATGAAAGACGTTATGAACATTCAAGAGGCTCAAAAGGCAAATGTCATCTGAGGGTGACCACCATCCTTTGTGCCACCATCATTTGTGCCACAAAACACAGTCTCAAAGTAATCATAAATTTATTATATTTATATATTTAATATAACTTATATTAACTTATATATATATTATATTACATATAATATATATAAGTCATATAACATATATATGTTATATATAATATAATATAATATATAACTTAATATATAAGTTATATAATATAACTTATATTATATATTATAAATAACAAATAAAAATGGAATGAAATTCCATTCCCGTGTAATAATCAAAATTTTGAATTTCATTCCTAATTTGGGCTTCTCCTCCTCCCCACATCTGGCTCTGACTTGCTACGTCCACAAAAGTTGCAGTCAGAAAAGCGAGAAGTCAGGAAAGGAAGTAGGATTCACTTCTTCCCTTCCCTTTCATTGCCTTTCTACTGTTCCTCCCCAGTTTTATGTCTGTCCAAGGCTAGAGTGCAGAGAGGAGAGGAAAGAGCAGGAAAATGATGCTGATGCTGATGCCGGATACTACAGGTTTCTTTTAGACTTGGCAGACATGTAAATGTAGCTCTGCTCTCCTGGAGGACGCATGGGTTATTCTGCAAACCCTACCACCACCGCCACCACCACCGAGTATCTCAAATCCATCTTTATTCCAGCTCGTCATTTCTGAGTTCTAAAAGGGCAGCAACTTCCCAAACCACAGCCCCTGGCCACTCTAAATTCTTCAGATTTTCCAAGTATAATTCTGACACCAGTCTTCTGTGTCCCCTAAACTGCAGGGAACAACACTAAGCTTTCTGTTCGTTTCTCTAAGTTCCTCTCTGGAACTGAAGTGAAGGGAAAGCACCCACATGCACTTGCTCTTTCCTGGTATGATCACACTTACAGTTAACATAAAATTACCTCTGCATATATTAAAATTTTAAAAGATAAGATAGGGCATTTAAAGAGCCAAGCACAGTGCCCTGAAGATAGTAAGTACTATTATGACTTAGCTATTATTAACCAAATATTGTTAGTTTTCCCGAAGGTCATCTATATGATTGTTAAGAAATGGAAGAGACAGTCACCTTTTAAAAGCCTCGCCAGCAAATGGCCATGAATCAACTCCTTCTATTTAAATAAATATAGTTCAAAATATTGTATAAGGACTATCCCTTGTGTCTTTTATTTTTACAACAAAGATGGTATGGCATAGTTAAAATGAGATCAGTGCATCTGCAGAGGCAAAGACAGTTTGACCAAAACATGAACCGCTAGGAAAGAAAAGGCACACGTACGCGGCACAGCACTCTGGAAATGCTCAGGATTAAGTTCAATAAGTTGTCTTCTCAGTTCATTGACTCCAACCCCAGAAGGTCCTAAACACAAAAAGCCACATACAGAAATCATTAGATGTGGATAAATATAATTGTGTGGTGACATCATCATTTCAGTTCTTCTACTGAAGACATCTGAGAACAAATGTTTTTCAGGAAATTATATCTCTTTTCACAAACGGAAACAATTCTGGAAAGCTCTTGAGAATTTTCCTGGGGACCCAGGGAGTAACCCACACGTCTTCCACATCCCAGAAATCAGCTGGGGAGTTACAGGAACCCGTCACCCCAGCGAAGTAATCTAATGTTAGGAGAATTGCCTGGCCTCGTTTCACATAATCTGAGACAATCTACCTTTCCCGACAAACGAAGTGTTTATCACATCACAACCCAGAAATCAGCCCCTCGAATTACCGGTTCTGAGCGTCAGCACCCGGTGTCTAACTCGAGTCAGGGCTGAATTCAAGCAGTTACATAGGATCCGTGCTTAGGCTTAATGCTCTTCCTTTGCCATATTGAAATGTTAAACTTTTTTTTTTTTTTAAGATGTATTTATTTATTTCAGAGAGAGAGAGAGATGGAGAGAGCACGAGGGGAAGAGGCGGGGTGGGGGGGGTGGAGAATCTTAGGCAGACTCCATGCCCAGTGGGGAACCTGACGCCGGGCTCCATCTCACAACTTTGAGATCAGGACCCGAGCTGAAACCAAGAGTGGGGGTCTTACCCCACTGTGCCACCCAGGCGCCCCAGAATGTTCATCATAAGCTCTAGCATTTTCCGTTTGCACAGAGCCCTGCCCATTCTGCAGCCGGGGCTGGCTCCAAGGCGCGCTGTTCTGCTCCACAGGGGCCTCCCTCGGTCACAGTTGGAGCATGCGCAGACACGCACAAGACCTGCCTTAACTACTGCGGCAGGCCCGGCTCGGCGGAGCTCGCGCTCGCGAAAGCAGGTGCCCGCAGCACTGTACTTGGCCTGCTCCGCGGCGCCAGAGACACAGGCCAGAAGACTCCAAACACTGCTCTACAGAAGGTGATTACAAACGTCGTAGGGAAATAGATCTTAAAGATTCTTGTTTCTGATACAGACTGATAATACAGTCTAGGGGACTACTCACCTACGCTTATAAAGTGAACTCTAAACAGGTTTTAAAGGGGCCCCCGGGTGGCTCAGTGGGTTAAAGCCTCTGCCTTTGGCTCAGGTCATGATCTCAGGGTCCTGGGATAGAGCCCCGTCCCTGCTCAGCGGGGAGCCTGCTTCCCCCTCTGCCTCCTTGCCTACTTGTGATCTCTGTCAAATAAATAAATAAAATCTTAAAAAAAAAAAAAAAAAAAAGACAAGCTTCACATAATACAGCCTGTTATTACGCCGGTACACATGCACCGGGCATACGACGTTCCTCTGTCGTCCATAAAAGCGTGGGACCACGGTTTTATTTATAAACACATACATAGAAAACAGGTTTTTTTTTTTTTTTAAGGTGTTTATATGGGAGTCGCTAAAGAATGCTGCTGTTGCCACCACTCCCAAGGCCACACTGCCGTGTCGAGAAGGAGACGCGCCTCTGCGGGCAGGGACGTACCGACCAGCACGACGAGGCGGTGCTGCTCCGACGGGCGGCGCTGGTACCGGACCACCTCCTCGTAGGGGGCGCCGGGCGCGGGGAGGCCGCCGCCCGCACCGCCCAGCCCGGCGCGCAGCTGGCCCAGGTGCGACTTGCGGCGACAAAGGCGCATGCTGCGGCGGAAGCCAGCTGCGAGGGTGGGAAGGCACGGGACGTCACGTGCAGCCAGGAGACAGCACGTCCCCCCCGCACGCCTGACGGAGCCTTCGGGGGCTGCCGTGGGCGAGTGCGACCGAGCTTCCTCGCGGCCGTCTGAAGGCGGAAAGGAAGACGCGCGAAGGAAGAAGAGCAGGACGCACCCCCCCGCACCCCCGCCCCACCGTGTTGCGTCGGCGGCACCCATTGCCCACCGGATGCGCCGGGTGCTGGGCCCCCCGGGGGCCGATCCCCTCAAACCCGTTTCCTCCTGGTTTACATTTCATGGAGGAGGAGAGAGGAAAGTAAACACATCAATAAAAATAAGTGCTTAGAAAGGTCCGGGGATAGAGAGCGATGGCGGTGCTTCCTCAGGCAGGTGGTTCAAGCAAAGTGTGTGTGAAAAGCTGACGTTGAGCGGGCGGGAGAGTGAAGCCCTGGAGCCAGGTGAGGAGGCGTCTGGGGGAAAAGCGACCCAGGCTAAGGGAACAGCAAGTGCTAAGGTGCAGAGAAAAGAGGGCTCCAGGAATGAGGGGGAAGCACAAGGAGGCCCGAGCGGGGCAGGGTGGTGAGCAGGAGGGAGAATGGTAGGAAATGGGGCTGGAGAGGAAGCAGGGGAGGTGGCCGCGGGCTCCAGCCCGGTGTTGGATTGTGGTTCAAGTGGACTGAGAAGTCACTGGGTGGTGGAGAAATGGGTGTGACATGGTTTATGTTTCTGAAGAAGTCCTCTGTTGCTGTTCCCAGTCCTTCCCTGAGGTAGAGCTCGGGACTCTTTGTGTATATAAACACACACACACACACACACACACACACACACACGTGCACTATATCTATCTATATATGTCAAACACCATGAGTTCACACCAATACCTACAATGCCAACTCAACACCACAGGATCCATTCCAGCCACCTGTCCCCACCCTCGCCGCATGTGTAACTCCTTTCTCTAACACTGAGAAACCTAATTGTCCTCAGTACATTTACTTACTGTATTGGTCACGAGCACCTGTGCAGGATGAGGGACGAGTGACGTTGCCAACCTAGCAGAAAGTATCAGAGCCCACGCGAGTTGAGGACGCCATCTTTGTAGAGGCTGCGAGGTGTCAGAGCCCAAGTGATGGCCACAGTCCTCCTCACCTTGCTCTGGCCCTGACAACCTGTACCAGTCAACAACGTTCCCCGCACAAACACTCTCCTCACATAGTTCGGTGATGCCCCTCCCCAGGCTGCTGCTTCTCCACCTTTGTGTACACCTGCTCCTTTGGCCTACCTAATGGCATTGGGGCTGAGTTATTCCAAAGAGATGCAGAAAAGTGGCTTCATGGGTTTTTTTTGTTTTGTTTTGTTTTTAAAGCTCTCTCAATGATTCCAATGTATATTCAGGCCTGAGGAACCAACATTTCACTTTACAGACCCTGCTGTCTCTTGGAGGAGGCTCAGCATGGGTATGCGTGAGCCTTTAAATGGGCCCTTCAGAAAGTTCTGCCCAGTTGACAGAAATGTGGCCATTAAAACCAAGTTTAGTAGTCAGAGAATGGGTCTCTTTTGAGTAAAATAAGTATGTCATGGAACAGTCTGGAAGAGAACCAAAGATTGGTAATGAATAATTAAGACATATCCAGTGGAAAACAGATGAATTGTAATGAATGATCAACACAGCAGAATATTGATCCAAAAAAGGAGTTGGAGGATAGAGGGAAAGCAGAACAAAGAACAAGTCTGGAAATGTTCATTGGCAAAAGAAGCTTTCAGAAGAGTCAAGAAGGTATGAATAAAACTTGACAAGTGACAATGACTGGCCTCTTATTAATCATTACCTACCGATAAAGAACTTCTGACCAGAGCCAACAAATTCCTCCTTGTCTGGAACACAGAGAATGGCCCGAACAGAATATGTGAAGGAGAAGGAGAAGTTTACTTAGAACAGGGGCATGAAATTATCTTCAGATCTGCAAGTGACACATTTCAGTAGAAGTCAGCACAGCTGAATTCACCTTGAATGGCTTCTTGCCATTTTCCAGTCTCTCATATGCACCAAACTATGTGAAAACTCTTCAGAATTTTACCAAAACACTGAATATATTCTGTCAAGTACAATTGAAACAAAAAGCTATTTTACACTGGTTTAAAGTGACAAGAAAGATACTGAGTCACAGAAAAACAAATAAAAATTAGGTATACATTGTTAAACAGGCCCAAAGAATACTGTCTTAAAGAGGGGAACAGGTAAACTGGCTTTGGCTTCAACTGTAGAAATGGTGTTCTGCAGGACCTATAATTAGTCCTTTTGTTAAAGATGGGCTTTTATTTTCTCCCTGACAAAATGGTTTATTCTGTACAAAATTAGTATTTGCTCTATAGTTGCCAATTGTTTCTGACTGTCCAGGAATCTGAGGGACAAGGGTGAGGAACACTGATCCCAGGGGCACTGAAGCACCTAGAACTTATTTAAACTCCACCTCTGCTTCTACTGGGGTCTCAGAAAAATTCTTAAAACTCCAGGAAAAAAAAAAAAAGCTGTTATAAAAATGCCATTTTCAAATTACTTTTTACAAATATATGTTCCTTTTCACTTATGCAACTCTGTTCTGATCATGGAAATATATAAAGAGCCATTGTCTGTAGAATGAATTAATATATACAACCTTTTCTTCTTAACTTTTTAAAAAACATATCTTAAAATACAAAGAAAACACACCAATATCAATCCCATCGTCTGATAAGTAAGCACATTTTTCTAACTGAAATATGTCAGTAAGTTTTTTTTTTTAGATTTTTTTTTCTTTTTCAATTTTTTATTTAAATTCTACTTAGCTAACATATCGTGTAACATTGGTTTCAGGAGCAGAATTTAGTGATTTATCCTTACATATACACCCAGTTCTCAACACAACAAGTACACTCCTTGATACCCATCCCCCATTTAACCCATCCCCCCACCCATCTCCCCTCCAGCAACCCTCCGTTTGTTCTCTGTAGTTAAGAGTCTCTTACGGAAGTGCTCAATTAAGGATATATTCATAGCTTAACTACTTTCATTGTTCATTTTTAAATATTTTTCTATGAAATTGAATATCTCACCACTAATTTCACCCTTAAAATATATTATCTTAAAATGTATCCTGTCATGCACGCACATTGAAGCACTGCAAGATCTTAACTATAGCTCCAGGTGGCTTGTCCAGGACATGAAAACAAACAATTACCTTCTGAAAGCTCCTCTGATATTTGCATGAGTGAAGAAACAGGAAAAAGTTAAGCCTTTGAGAAGGTCAAGTTGGCCAGCCAATAAAGACCAACACAAAAGCGAGGCATTCAGGTCACCCCTAGAGCAGGCTGTAACTCAGGTCGGCCTGGGAAGGTGAATGAGCGACATACAGCTGGGGACTGGGGACTCATTGGACCAACTGCGCTGCTCAGGGAACAATAACTTTTTCTGCAACTTACCTCCATTCTCCCCGAGGGCTTTTTGTCTGGGGAGACTTCTCTTTACTGGTCAGCACAAAATAGGGCTTGGGAGAGAGAAATTACAGGAAGGCAACTGCTGTGAGCCTCCTCTCTCCTCTCCCAGAGGCCAGACACAGTCCTGTGAAGTGGCCCTCAGGCAGGGACTACAGCAGCCTCTGGCCTGAGCATCCTCCTTCTTTACCTCTCACTGGGTCCAGTGACACACAGCCTTCTCCAGCTGGCCCACTGGAGACAGGGGGAACTGAACACAAAGCATTTTCTAGATGTCTTAAAACACCCATCTTCTCTATTGCTTTGTTTTTGTTGTTGTTGTTGTTGTTGTTTTAAATTTATTTATTTGACAGAGAGAGAGATCATAAGTAGGCAGAGAGGCAGGCAGAGAGAGGGGGGAGCAGGCTCCCTGCTGAGCAGAGAGCCCGATGCGGGGCTCGATCCCAGGACCCTGAGATCATGACCTGAGCCGAAGGCAGACACTTAATGACTGAGCCACCCAGGCACCCCTATTGCTTTGTTTTTAATGGCATTCCTAATTAGACTATATCAACAGCCCCTGGAAAAATGCGAGGAGGTCACAGGGTACCACATTCAGAGAAGAGTTGAGCCCCAAACCAAAGAGACGGAAGGACCCACTGAGAGCTCTAAGTAACAGAATTAAGCATCATGAATAAATATCAAGAGATACTTACTTAGGAAACCTGCCAGGTGGGGGCTCATTGTTCCTTAAATGACCTCCTCAGTGAGTTGGGTTCAGAAGGTACAGGGGCATTCTCAATCTTTTGACTAAGAGGGGTCCGGAAGGGGCACCGCCCAGTAACTAAGGGGGGCTGCACGCGTTCCTCTGCAGTGATTAGAGCCATGGCTGCGGAATGCCCATCCAGAGCGAGAGGCCGAGCAATGCTAGCTGTGCTCGTGTACCGCTTATATCCTAAGCACTTTACTTGTATAAGTTATTTTTCCTGCTTTAGACGTGGGGCAGAGGGGTGAAGTGAAGGAGGACCCACAAGAAATGAGTAACAGAGCGGGATTCTACTGGGACAGCCTGGCTCCAGTCCCTGGCTTTACCCACTCCCCCGGACCGCCTCTCTGTCCACGGACACCACAAATACCTCTGGGCCTCAGCCACGGTGTTCGTGTGTAGACTGTCTTCCAGAAAAATGAGGAGTTGAACATAGCGCAAAGGAGGACTATGATCCAGAGGCAATAAAAATTAAGCCAGTCCCGAACACGGAGCCACCTGTCCAGTGGAATCTGCTTCTCCCTCTCCTGCTGCTGCTCCCCCTGCCTGTACTCCCTCCCTCCCTCTCTCTCTCTCTGACAAATAAACAGACCAACTATCTAACTAAAAACGGGGAATTTAGAATCAACGTAAGTGGGAAGTTATCTGGTTATGTGCATACTTCCCAGCTCCATCTGTCCATCCCACAGAGCCCCCAAGTGTCCCTCATAAGAAGCACCAATGAGGGCGAAGCATATAATATCTCACAACCATACTGTTGAGATGTTTAAACAATCATCATATGATGTCCCTAAATGTGGGTTTAAATATACCAAAATGTAGAACAGACTCTTAAAAATCAAAACCAAAGACTCATTTTTTACTTACCGGATTCAAATGTTTCTTCATCTATGGTTTCCCATGGAGAAAAAAAACACCAAAAGTGTGATTATAGTACTATCTGTACTGAGTCTATATTTTAATAGTCTAATTCCCCAACCCTATGCTTCTGCAGACACACCAGCTTCTTGAAATTCTTTCCTAAATCAAGGCCAAGTCTATGGGGTCTCTCTGGCATATTAGAACCTTAAATGAGATACATGGTGTTAAGCAGTGGAGTTACAACAGCAAGCATGGGTGCTGCAGGAGCTTAGAATAAATAAAATAGAAGAGAATAAAGAGAATGTAAAAGAGGCTCAGGGGAGGGAAAGGTAGAATGTCACAGGAAGTGCCAGTGGACATCAGACAGCACACAGGGTTGCAGTGAGAAGGCTTGCAGGGGGAAGGGGGATCTCCCCACCTGAAGATTTTGGAGGGGGTAGGGCATAGGCAACAGGAGTGTGGTGTGGAGAAAGAGTATATAAATGGTTTGACTGGATAGGCTTGTTTAGGTGTCAAGGAAAGATTCTGTATAAATCAACTTCCTCATCAGTTAAACAGTTCTCATTAGTGGAGCACCTGGGTGGCTCAGTCATTAAACGTCTGCCTTGGACTCAAGTCATGGTCCCAGGGTCCTGGGATCAAGCCCCACATCAGGATCTTTGCTCAGTGGGAAGCTTGCTTCTCCCTCTCCCACTCCCCCTGCTTGTGTTCTCTCTCTCACTCTGTCTCTCTCTGCCTAAATAAATAAAATATTAAAAAAAAAAAAACCCACACAGTTCTTATTAGTAGTTTAAAGAGATATTAAGGACTAAGAAATGAAAATGTATGTGGAGAGCAGTTTGAAGTATGTAGCGACATTACCAAAGCGTGTGTCCTTGGATCAGACCATAGTGCACTGAGAACACACTCAGCCAGGTGTGAGACAATGTGTTTGCAATGCTGTTCATCGTAGCACTGCTTGTAATAGAAAAGACTGGCCATAACTCAAATGTCTTTGGGTAAGTGATTGCATAAATGCACAATAATTTACCTCACCAATAAGCTATTAAAAACAAATGAGGAGGCTCTTTAAGGGCTAGGATGAAATCATAGATAACACTAAGGAAAAAAAGCCATGAACAGAACAGCGTGTAGTGTGTACCATCAAAAAAGTCTTGTTTTTTTAAAAGGTGTTTTTTTAAAAAATGGTGAGGATGATGGTGGGGAGAGGAGAAAAAAATATACAGCATTGTTTTTATATGCACAGAATATGTCTGGAGGGATCAGCAAGAAATTGAGAGCATGTATTGCCTCAAGAAATAAAACTGAGTGGGGGAGCAGGGAACAGGAGGAACTCAATACTTTTGTAGTTTTTGAATTTTAAAGCACGTGAACATATTACCTAATAAAAGATTTAAATTGGAGAAAGAAATGAATATTGGTGGAAGTTTTTAAAAAAACAGAATGTATACTTGATAGGATAAACATGGTGTCAGCATTATTTTGTAGTTGTTCTGGGAAGTATATATGAATCTTTGAAATATCCACTATTTAAAGATTTCATATTGCTCTTTAATTTCTAAAAACTAGATGAGCCCAGAAAGCCAAGACAAATTCACCTCTCAGACTAAAGCCTTTCTAGTAGTCTCTCAACGTTACCCTCCTGATCCTTTAGCCAATCTTAGTTCTGCCACTAAACTTGGGAGATCTTTTCCCAACTTCCAAAAATAATTAAGTGTAGAAACATAAAAAGTTTTCATACATTTCTCAAAAATTTGGAACCCACTACTAATTATCTATACTGGAATCTATCAGATGTTACCAAACAATAACAAAAAATATATGTTGCTTTTTAAAAATTGGCATTTCAATATTTTATAGTATTTTACAAAGAGCATGGCGGTTTCCAGACATTCCGCCTGAATGTTACTGAACGTAACCCCTGAGTATTACTAAGTGTTCCTGTGATCATTTCCAAGACACTCCTTTCTAGAACACTTTCTAGAAGGTTGGTTTGGAGCCTGGAGAACTTCTCATAGCTGTGCCTCCCTTCCAAGTGCCAGGACCATGGGAGAGGAGGGGTTCATTTTACACATTACTTCCAGAGGAAAGGCCTGTGGCCCCATTTGGCTAACTCTGCTTCAGAAAATCTACAGCTAAGACGTTTCATATTCCTTCTGGTGGTAAATCTGTCAAGAGGAAATGTTACCTGCTTCCACACACTTCTCATCAATTTTCATGTCATCTAAAAGAGGATGGAAAGGGAAAAACAGAACTTAAAATGTATCCGTACCACAAACAAAATTCCCAATGTATAGACTTATGTCAGTGAAAGACCATTTTACGAAAACGATACTCTTACAACTATTCCTCATGCTCGCTCACTCGGAGAGAGAAAAAAGGACTCCACTGTAATAAATGAAAATGAAAATCTATGGTATAGAAGGCTACATAACATAAAATGGTAAAAATTTTAAAAGCATCAGCTTTTTGGGACATCTGGGTAACTCAGTCAGTTAAGTGACTGCCTTTGGCTCAGATCATGATCCCAGGGTCCTGAGATCGAGTCCCACATCAGGCTCTCTGCTCAGCAGGGAGTCTGCTTCCTGCTGTTGCTCCGCTTGCTTGTGCTCTCTCTCTCTCTCTCTCTCTGACAAATAAATAAAATCTAAAAAAAAAAAAAAGCATCATCTTTTTGAGTGAGCCAATTAGTTTATCTAAAGCTTCAGTTTTCTATCTATAAATGGACATGGTAGAAATACCTACCATATAAGAGAGGATTCACTGAGATAATATATGAAAAGCTAAGACAGATGCTAAGTGCTCAATAAATGTTAACTATTTGTACCTTTAGCTGAGATATCCATAACAGGATAAGAGAATATAATTTTTAAAACCACCCATCCTATCCTAATATCCAAAACCCTCTACAACATAACCCAAGCCCAAATTTGAAGGCTGTTATCTACTTCTTTCCTTCGCATGTCTTGTACCCGCATTAGAGTAGCCATCATCAGGTCTCCTCTGGGCCTTTGCTTATGGATACCATAGCTACCATTCAATTCCTTCCATTTATTGAGAGATTATTTTTCAGGTCAGTATTTTATAATAACAGCTGATCCATTAGTTCCTAAGACATCACTAGAGGTTTTATGTGTTTTTGTTTTTGTTTTCTAAGCGAAGAAAAACTACAATTAGTATTCCTGTTTTACAGAGAACAGGAGTGAATTTCTAAAAACAGCACAAGGAACCCTGATTTTTCTAACTTGCAACTCTGGGATCTAAAACACTGATTTTACTCTCTCAAAATCAACAATTCCATACCGTTGGCACAGGTAGGTGTTATGGACTGATTTGTATCCCTCCTGAATTTGTATGTTGAAGTTCTAGCCCCCAGTACAGCCATATTTGGAGACAGGGCCTTTAAGGTTGAAGGAGGTCATACTATTGGGGTCCTAGCCCAAAAGGACAGGAACTTCTTTCTGCAACACCAGAAAGCAGACCCACTGAACCTTGATTTTAGACTTCAGGCTTTCAGAACTGTGAAAAAATAAGTGTCTGTTGTTCAAGACACCCAGTCTGTGGTGTCTTGTGATGGTGCCCTGAGCAGACTAAGACAGTGGGTTTGTTACCCACCAAGCCCACAGAGACCCAGGCTCTCCAAAGCCTGCCCATGTTCCCTGTGCTCTTTCTAATTTCAGAACTGAAATAGGGGAGTAGCTAGGGGACTGCTCCTCTTCCTTCTCTCCCCCTCCACAAGCAGATGGCACCTTGCTTTCTTGCTTTTGTGAGTGTGTGTGTGTTTGGCATCATAATGAGTCCCCTGCGTGTCTGGGCTTGGAGAAGGAGAAATAACAACTGGAATTTCCATTGTCCCTTCAGGCAGCGCCCTCCAGACGGAAGCTTCAATCGAGACTACACTGCCTGCAACACCTCCCAAAACTCTTACTTTCTCTCCACCTCAATCTTTTCATCCATAAAATGGGAATGATCACAATTCCTTACGGGGTTATTTTTAAGACCGTGTGTCTAAAACAGTTGACACAAAACAGTGAACCAGTGTCACAACTTTTATTGAATTTTTACCACGAGCTGCATCTAAATGTAATCTCTCTTTTCTCCTATTCCTCAGTCTTAGGACAATTATATCATGTGTGCTCTCTGTTTACTGACATCTTTTTTACAAATTAGGATATTAGTGACTGGCCCACTACTAGGTATACAGGAAGAGCTTAATAAATAGCTAAACTGCATGGAAGTAAATTAAGAAAACTACACAAAATTTCTGTAAGACTTTGGAGGTGAGGTTTTTTGTTTGTTTTTTCAAATACCATTTCTTACCTTCTTCCATAGAAATTGCTGGGTACAAATATTGGAAGCAGAAAAAAAGACAGCACGTTGGTTAATGCTATAGTTTTTCAGGTTAACTTATAATAAGAAAAGTGAAGTGCCAAAATTATAGCAATTGATATTCTGGGCTTAATCTATAGAAATTTGGTAGAGATTTGGTAACGGAATGATAAACAAACATCCTATAGAAACTAATTCATTTATGAATCTTGTTGGAAATGGAGAACTTGCTTCTGGCAAGTCCACTCCCTTTCCACCCTAAAGTTCTGTAAGTGTTGTGTTCTACTCATTTCTGAGTTAATTCACTTGCGTTATATTTTAGGAACGCAAAATTTGACTGGAATAAAAGGAAGGGAGGGAGGAAGAAAGGGAGGGGGAAGGGGGGAAGGAAAGAGAAAGAAAGGAAGGAAGGGATGGAGGAAAGGACAGAGCGAGGGAGGGAGGAAGAAAACAGAAAGACGATTCAAGTGTATGTCCATCTTCAGTAAAGATATTTTTAATAGTGATCTGCAAATTTTTCCTTAAAGTTAAATAAAGTTAACTTTTCCTTAAGTTAAATAATAAATAAAGTTAAGGTATAAACTTAAATAAATATAAGTTGCCTATATCTCTGCACTCAATATCCTTTCCCTGAGATTATTTTCTCCCTATGGTAACATTAAACAGAAAGATACAAAATAATACTATGGCAGCACCATCTTCAACAGTTAAAAAGAAAAGAAATGACCTAATAGTTTAGAAACTGATCACACTCCATCAGAAACAACCCTGTGAGAGGCGACCCTTCAAATCAGCGGCTCCGGCCTTGGGACTCTTAGACTCAGAGATACCGGAGTATAGTAATAGGGGCTGCAAATTCTTTTTCAGGATGGACTTTTCCAAAAGTCTAACGTAAATCGCACTTGGGCTACACAAGCAAATTAAACATCACCCAAGGGGTCATGCTAGATCAGTTTCTTCAGCAGCTTTTCCACGGTCCTTTGAGAAATGAAGTAGGAAACCGAATTAAAGAAGCACTTCAATCTGGTTTGGTAAAAAAACAAAAACAAAAAACCAAAAAACTTTTCCAAAACACGGGGGAAATAACTAAAATACCACTATGACAATCATATCATGAAAAATGTTTCTCATAAAATTTTAGGTTATAAAAAGATAGGAAGCAGTACTCCAGCTGTCCGCGGAAGCCTGTAAGATATGTATCCGTAAGGCCATATGGAAACACTGCCTGGACGAAGGAATCATGAGAGCATTTTCTTCTTTCAAAACTCTCTCTGTAGTTGTCATCACAAGGTTTCAAAAGAAAAAGAAAAGAAAACCCAATGTGGGGCCGAGACAAGTGAGTAATAAAGTGACCAAGGACTGGCCGCGGGCTCATCTGTGACACCGACACTACTGTCTGCGTTCTCCCCGTACAGCCTCCTGCAAGGCGCCTCTCCCTCCGCCTGGGGCCCCATCCCCATCCTTCCCCCCTTTCCAGGGGCCGGGGGTGAGGGCCATTTCTGAAGGACCTCATCCAGCCGGTCCCCACTGAGCTCTGCCATGGGGCAGCCCCACCTATTAAGGCAGAAAGGAGTTTACAAGCATTTGTCACTGTGGATGCCTTATTCCCCTCTGCTGCCATTTGAATAATACTGTCTAGCGAACAAGCAGCCTCGATTAAGTAATAATTCAGTCGCACGTTTATTCATCAAACACAGATATCGCTGCTTAGCAGAGCTTCTGAAGAGTGTGAAATTGACACACACCCCCATGCTTCCCTTGCCAGCACGGCTATAAGGTGCGTGCTAGCTGCAGAGATCGCGGGGGACTCCAAGCTGGGGAGCCATCCCGGAAGGTGTCATCAACATTGGAACATTTATTTTCATTGTCTTCTAAAGCCAAAGGAAAGGAGTTGCAGAGAAGGACTTCAGATGGCCGAAGGAGGTTATCTGGGCAGGGGGCCATTTAGGGATCCTCTCCCGGGCAGGAAGACAGCCCTGGGAGAGAAGGAGCAGGCTTCCCCGTGGTGCACACACTGGGTTCAAGGTATCAGCACACTCACATATGGTGGGTTTGAGACTGCTGGGGGGCTGGTATGGCTGAGACCACCAGAACTCGCGTTGCTTCCTGTGCACAAAGAAATACACCGTGAAGGGGGAAAAGTCAACCCAGGTGAATGAGATCCAGTGTTTCCTAGAATTCTGCTGCCTCCACCCATGGGAAGATGGAGGTTTCTTCTCCAAACACATCCCCAAATAGTCTCCAAATACACAGGCTTTCTTAGCACTCTTTTCCTGCCTCACAGGATCCTTCCAGAGCAACTCTGACTTGTGCTGAAAATCCTGTGGTGACCGAGAGATCACAGGCCCCAGGGCTTCGGTCACTGGCCGAAGGGCCTGTGATCTCTCGGTCACCGCAGGATTTTTGGTCACTGGCCACTGACCCCCAGGGGCCCCTGTCTCTCCCACAGCTTTGCCTGCCTCACCTTGCCTCTGAGTCTTCACGGCCTGTCCCGGTTCCCCCCTGGGCTGGGGGTGCTCTCCAATTCTCTTAGAGCCACGTGGATTTTGCTCCTTGTGCATTAAGCCAGTAAAGCTGTCATTTCTGTGGGCACCTTGCAAGGCCCCCACCAGAGCCGTAAGGACTAATCTCATGAGGTCTTTATCCTTGTTCGTGGCAGCCCCTACAGCTCTGGTCATCCCTTATTCTCTGCACTTTAATTCCTGTCAGGATCCGCCCACCTCCCCCCACCAACCTCTTCCCCACGCCGGGTAGATCTTGGGGTCAGTCCTTCCCCAAGTCTCCCTGACTTCAGCCTCTACTGTGAGTGAGTAAGCCCTTTGCCTCACTCTAACCCAAGCCCGGGTCTCCTAAGGGGGCTGCTCCCATGTACCTTTCAAGAGGTGGCTAGTTTCCTCTCCCACCGCCAGTGGGCTGCTGGTCAACCAGCTCTGGGGGACCGGCTGGAGCGGATGAGCTGCTCTGCTGATGTCTCTCAAGTTAGTACTCTCCTGGTGGCTGATTTCCAGCTGCCACCTGACCTTGCTGATTGAGGACATGGGGACAGAGCACATGGGCTCTGGGAGCTGCCTCCATCCCACCACTCAGTGCACTTGGCTTTGGCTCCACGGGCCGGAGGTGGGGTCTTGGCCATCTCTGGATCATGCCTACTTACTCTCATGCTCTCAACATGATTCTGGCATGATTTTCCTTCCAGTTCTTACTCAGTGTTCATTCAGCCTCAGCCAGTGCCTCCCAGTGTCCCAGCTCAGACCTTTTCAGTATCAGTAACTCAATCTCACCTCCCAGCATCCCTTTCTTCTCCCAACACCTCCTGCCTTCCCAGCCCCGACAGTCTGCTAACCTCCTGTGCACCTATAACCCATTATCTTACTTCATTTCCACTGACCCTTACTCCCTCATTTCCCTCCTTACTAGCTTAAGCATCAGGATACATCATTACAACACTCCCATGCCCTTTTCTAGATTTACTGTTAAATCCAATTCTGCCTCATCCGGACCTGCCCACCAGGAAGCGAACCAGAATCATTTCAAATGCATGCCATTTAACCTTGCATGGGTCAATCATGCTGACTCTACTATATTTACCTAATGCATCTGCTGGCAGGTTCTCATAGAAAACGTTGAACTTTCTACTCTCTTCTTCCCAGCACCTCCTTAACCATACTTATTCTCAGCTTATGACATCACTTCTTATTTCACTGAGGAAATCATAGTGGTTAATTGAGAACTTCCACAAGCTCCCACAATATCCGTGTCCACACACTCAGGATTCTCTGCTGTTACTGTTACTGTTTATGATCCTGTATAAGGTCAACCCCTCTGCTTGCACACCATTGACCTTTAAACAGGCCCACTTATACATGGATTTTTTTTTCAATAAATATAGTACAGTATTGCAAATGTATTTTCTCTTCCTTATGATTTTTTTAATGGACATTTTCTTTTCTCTAGATTAGTCCATTCTAAGAATACAATATATAATACATTTCACACACAAAATATGTGTGAATCCACTGTTTACATTACTGATCAATTGTAGGCTCTCGGTAGTTAGGTTTGGGGGGTCAGAAGTCATATACAGATTTCTGACTGCATTAGGGGTCAGCACCTCTAATCCCTGCGTTGTTCAACTGTCAACTATACTAGATTATCTCTCCTCTGTCTGCTCAAAGACATTGACAATGGCAATTCTTTTCTCTTTTTTCTCCATCATAAAAGTTTTCCCTGTCACTGGACTGTTCCCACCAGCATTATGAACCTCATCAAAAAAAGTTCTCCCCTACCATTCCACTTTCCCAGCTGTTTCGCCACCGCTCTGCTCTGCTTTGTAGTAAAAGGTCTCATGCCATCAATTTCTTCAAATCCCACTCTGCTAGGACTTTGGTCCCATCCCTCCATTGAAATTGCTTTTATCAAGATCCCCTGTGACTGCCATATTGCCAGATCCAATGGTGACTTCTCAGTCCTCTCTACAGCAGCTGACGTGGTTGATTTTCACCCTGCCTCATTGGTCACTCCTTCTTAATCTCTATTATTGGCTCCTTTCCTTCTTCTTGATTTCTTAACATTGGCTGAGCCTTGGATCTTTTCCTATCTCCTACCTTTACTCATTCCCTGGGACCTCAAGAACACAAAAGTGAGGGTCATGGGTTCAGATTCAATAGCCGAGGATTCAACTCAGCCTCGAATGATTAATAGAGGGAGTTAGAATTATCTTCTTAAGTTTGAGTTTCACAAGTGCTTTTCTCTCTTTTCTAGCTGATCTCCTTCGTATTTAAGATGCTTACGGTATGTGGATAAGTTGACTTTTGGATTAAGAGGCCAGTGTATGTGTTTATCCATCCACTTGTCTCCCTTTACCCCATTTTAACTGCAGTAACAGAAGACTGAGAAAACATTTTATTTCCTGAAGGCTCAGTCCTAAGTCCAGGAGTGAGAATTTTCTTACCTCTTCAGAAGGTGGTTAGAAGGTATTAGGCCAGCACAGGTACCAAGGTCTGAGATTTTCCGGGCCTGCCACCAGAGGGCATCATTCTGGTCCACAATCTGAAGAATGTCCCCCTTCTGGAAAGGCAACCCTGCGTCCATGCAGGGGATGGCGGGATCCTCCTGGGGCCAGTACTCCGTCATGGCGCGAACATACACCTGACAGCAGGTGCAAAATGTCCCCATCAAAAGAACCCTTGGCCATGGGTTGTCAAGACTTAAAACCATTTCCCCACTCCTCTACCTACTGTTGCTGTCTTGTCTCCCCATACTCTCCAAAAGGGAGAACTTGCCTCTTTAACTGAGCCTAAGATCCATGGAAAAAGGTGACTTTGGCAACAGAATCTTTTAGTGCCAGGAAGTTTTATTCCAGTGTTTGCCATTCTTGATGTTATTCTTTTTAAACTTCTTGTACCCCATCTCCTTTTAGCGCATTCATTTACTCGTTTGCCTCTCATGTCATCAGTATTGAAAAATGGGCAACACATTATAAAGAAGGGCGCTATGATACAAAATATTAAGTCACTGTCACTGGTATTTGAGAATTTACTGTGTGTGATTATGAAGGCACAGGACATTCTCACCGTCTTCTGGCTATTAACAGGAGGGGCAGAAACTGGAACCACCTTGAACATTATTGTGCCGCGAGACATGGCCTAGAAAACGTCAAAAGGGAGGGGATAACAAGTCACAGGGTCCACTGGGTTACTGGGGTTCCACACAGGGAGTTACAACACAGTGTGGGCAGCTTTAAGGATGACATCCCCCCACGGAGATTTTACAAGGGTTCAACAGCTAAATATCACCATGCAGAAGTGGAAATCAGGAAGAAATACAGCCCAGCTTCTGCCTGGCTGTGGAGCTCTGGAGTCTCTGGCCTGCTGAGCCCTACCCTGAGGCCCGGCCTCTCCCAGGAACACTCCATCTTGTAACCTTATTCAACAAGGTCTTCTTCCCGCAGATGTTGGGGAAGGAGATGAGGTCTCAGTCGGACTTCCCTTCCTCAAAAGTCCATCAGTAATTACTTCCTGAGCCCCTGTTCCCGCACTAGGCAGCTCACTCTGATGGGGAGAGGGGGGCTCCATAGTCTTCTGGGGAGACTGACAGCTCCAAGTTAATGGTGGGAACGGGGAGCCCTCACACATTTTGAGGAGACAGGGAACCTCTCAGCTTGATGGGAAAAGTAAGCTGCTCCTGCCACAGGCACTGTGAGTCCAGAGAGGATCCAAACCTTGTCCTTACTCAGAGATTTCACAGCTCCGCCATCTTGGCTGTGCAGCTGCCACCAAAATGGCACGAGTGGAGCCACATGCATCTGTGATGGACAGCTTGTTGAGCTCCATTCGAGGTGGCTTCGTGCCATCCAACACCTTGCAGCAATGGTTATTTGTGAAATATTTTGGTGCCTGGTATACTCCTTATGCCACCATGTCTCATCTCAGTCCCTGAGGCACAACTATGAAAATTTAGAGTTCCCCCCAAACCCAGTTGGGAACCACTAGTCTATATGATGGCTAGTCATCCACATCAGCCCCCACGATTGGGGTATGAATGGGGTTGATGGCAGGGACATACCACTAGGACTGTGATTCAGACAAAGGTTTGAAAAGTTTCTTCCAGAAGAAACCATCATCTGGTCATAAATCCCCAGTCTCAACCACCAAGGACAGTGGCAGGGCGAGCAAGGAAATCCCCCTCCCCACAGGCCAGCCTCCCAAGACATCTCTCCCACCCCGAAGCTACCTCAAGGGAGATGTTAAAGAGATTCCAGCTGTATAAAAATGTTGGTGGTTTGCTCAGGTTCGGACTCCCCTCCAAAGTCTTACTCTGCCCACCCCAGGCTCAGTTTCCCAAGAAGCAACCCAAACAACAAGGGACGTGGGCTGGGGGAACTGGCTGGGGGAACTTCCTTCCCGGGGCCGGAAGAGCGGGTTGGCAAGAGAAGTCTCCCGGCAGAAACCAGATTGGGGTGTGGGTTTGGGAGCTGAGCTACACAGAAGCAGAAAAGTCTGGGGGTCTGGAGGAAGGAAACTGCCCCGAGGGACCAAAGCCCCCTCACATTACGATGTCTGCACCACGGGCCAGACAGGCTCAGGACAGCCACGGCTTTTCACTGAGTCGTTGAGAAGGCAAAGAGGAGACTGTTACCAGAATATGGATCACTTGCTCAGGGTCCAGTCCCTCAACGGGAACTCCATTCACTTCCACCAGTTTGTCTCCAGCATATAACAACCCTGTTATATGTGGCAAACAGGAACACAAAATAAAGAAGGGTACAGGAAATTGGTTAAGAAAAAAAAAAAATAGAGGTAGCTACACCAAAGATTTTTAGCACACTCACTAACCCAAGCATGCTCTAACATTTAAAAATTTACTCTGAACTAATCCTAATCCTAATCAACAGACTGGTTATTCTAGTGTACGCTTCCACAAAAGCATAGAGAACTGTATTTTTAACACCTCTTCACCAGTGATATTTTCATTGTTGCTAAACTGATGTTGCAAAACAAGGTTAACACTAAAAGTAAAGATGTCAGCGTCATGAGTAAATGATCAATGATGAGGAAAGAGGTGGGGCATTCTTCTAAGAGGAAATGTGGAGGAACATGGCAGGTAGGATCAAGCTTTGAGAAATAGGAAGGAAGCAGGACAGTTGTCAGATGGAGGAGATGAGATCCAGGATGACATCATGGAACAGAAATCCATGACAATGAAAAGATCAAGACAGTTATGGTCAATGTCAAATATGCTAGAGAAGTAAAAATAAAACAGGCCAAAGGAAGGGCTGGGGGACTGAGCAACTAGGAATCCTTGGGGTCACAGCTCTAAGAATGGTGGGGTATGAAGCCCGTGCCAGGTCTGCAGGGCCCTGGGCAGTGAGGATGCAGGACAGCAGGCACAAAAACGTAGCAATGAAAGGAAGAGATTTGGTTGACTGGTAGAAAGAACAAGCAATGGGCACTGCAAGGTGGGGCAGAGCTACGCCTGTTGAGAGCAGAAGGAACAGGGGAAGAGCGGGAGGTGGGAATATGGAGCAGGCAAACCTGGACTTGCATCTGGACTCGAACTGTGCAACCTCGAGCATGTTACTTACTTACTTAATCTTTTTGAGCCTCAGTTTCCTTTTCTACAGAATGGTGTGCTAATATTAGCTTGTTGGGGCACCACGAGAATGTAAACTGAGTGGACACGAAAATGTGGCCTCAGTGAAGGAGGGAAACAGGATTCTCTGGAATGTTTATTCCCTCCTTCTTAGTAACTGAGCAATGCCATGCATAGAAGCCTTGACCATGGTTAGGAAAGAAGGGTTGCCCTGGAAAGACTAAACAACAGAGGGTTTCCCATTTCTCTGGTCACGCGTGTGCCCTGCTTCTCCAGCTTACCGCTCCTCTCAGCCAGCCCGCCATGGATGACTCTGGCCACCAAGATGTCCCCTGTCATCTCGTGGCGCTTGATGGTAGCTCCCTGGGGAGAGAGTGCAGTGGAATCCCTCTTTTACCTAACATGACCACTCTTCGGGTGGCTTCCTTCAGTATAGCTCTGGTTTGGTCAGAAGTGGGTATGTATACCATCCAGAGCCATTCACTCAGCGTTGGCCAAACAAAGCCTCTATCCCACCACATAGATACAAAAGAATATTTAGATCCTTCCAAAGATAAAGAAAGCTTTTACCATTACAGCCTAATCAAAGAGACTGTTCTTAGAAAAATTAATGCCTCACTTAGCTTCCAATTAATAAAGAGAAAATACTTAGGTAAATACACTGGAATTTAGTGAAATTTATGTACATCAGAGGGCTAAATAATAAAATAAAATATGGAGCACCTGGGTGGCTCAGTCGGTTAAGCGTCTGACTCTTGATTTCAGCTCAGGTCATGATCTCAATGTTGTGAGATCGAGCCCCACATTAGGGCTCTGCAAGGGGCTCCGTGCTGAGTGTGGAGTCTGCTTGGGATTCTCTCTCCCTCTCCTACCGACCCTCCCCTGGCTCGTGCTCTCACTCTCTCTCTCTCTTTCTCTCCCAAAAAATAAATAAAATAAAATAAGTCTTATTTCTCACAGATTTTTCAACACAGAAAAACACAAAGCAGAAGTCCTTCCTTGTGAAAACATTATAACATATAACGTGTTTGAAACCACAGGCAAAAATCATTAGGACGTCATGCTCTAGCCATTATCACGGATCCCCACGTTATCTGAATGCAAACAAGAATATTTAACATTATATTAAATAATTACAGGAGATAATGTAGTTCACAATTAACCCTTAGTTCATAATTAACCCTTGGTTCACCATGAGCCCCAATATCATTCTGAGAAGATTAAGTGATTTCCTTACCAGGGGCTGCTGGTTTTTCACTATGCAAACAATCCTCATTGCCTCCTCACTCTCAGGGATATTGTCTGGCAATGGGGGGAGAAGAGGTTCAAAATCTTTCTTAGCCACGGTGTCATGGGCACTGAGCAAGGCCTAGGAACAGAGAAGACAAGGTGAACAAAGGTCACACAGAGGACACACCCTTCTAGAAGAAGGTGAGCCAACACTCTGTAAGACACACCACCACCATCACCACAACAACCAACACACGCATGCTGGGCATAGCCTTTTATGTGGATTAACTCAATCTTCACGATCATGCCGTGAGGTGGGTTTATTTATTGTCCTCCTTCATAAACAGATGAGGCACAGAGAGGTTAAGTGATACATAAGATACTCTTGCATTTCTCCTAAAATGTACTTTGTCACTTTCTCATTTCCTGCAAACCCAAGTAATCCATGGTGCTCCCATAAGCTTGAACTACAGAATAACTTTTGTAAGGTTTTCCCTAATTAATGCAGAATGGGAGACAGCAATCAAAACATCTTGCTGGTTTCATTTGTCAGTGACTCCCAAGGAACTATGAGGAACAGAGTAAGAAAAAGTAGTTTCCTGATTTAGGGTGTGATCAAAGAGTTCCTTCTAATGGCCCATTATGTTAAATGTTTAGTTCATTGGGTGGGGAAGTAGTCATTCCATAGCCCAACATGAGACTGATGGACAGAACTTCACTGGAACTCAGAGAAAACTGTCTAGGGTTATCTTGTGAACTGAAAATTTGACTCATAAATTCCATTGCTCCAAATGCAGAGAGTCTCTTAAAGTTCTCATTTGTTGATAAACTGAACTCAAACTCTATGAGTACTATGAGACAGGCTTCTGTTCTACAATCAAACATTCTTTAATCAAATGTCCTTCATATACTCTCTCATTGAGTTGATCACCCTTACACTATATTTTCAGAACATCTTCACACTCTTCGTCCAAAACTTAAAATATTTCCAAGTTGGAAAGCAAGTATACTACCCTGATTGCCCCCCAGAATTTTGGAGGGGCAATGGCTTTTCAGGGTGGGAACAAGACATCATGGAAAGTGCTGGACGTTTCATAAATATGGCAGGCTTGGCTCCATGGCTAACAACACAGAACCAGTCACATCTGAGTCCCACATCTTTAAGAACAATCTGTTGGTCACCCACGTACAGTAATAGAGCATCTATTCAGAAAGTACATTTCCTATCACCCTTATTTCTTCTTGCCAACTTTGCCCACGTGCTAGATGGGCATATCTTGTCTATTTTAGCAAGCACTTGCCTTAAAGTGTGGATCCTGGAGGATTTGTTTCAGCTCTTGGATCTCAGGGGATTTAGGAGTTTCACGTAATATCCCCACTACCTGATTGGTGGAAAAGCATACACTGTAAAAGTGTTAAAAATCTTCATCACCTAGTTAACACCACCCAAGCTGGATGACAGATACATTGACCAGCATGTTATTGACCTAAGAAAATCTGTTACTGAAATCTTCCTTTATATCTTTAAAGTCAGGGCCTAGGATCTTCCCTCATTCATTCAACTTTGCTACAGCAGGTAGAATGCAAGATTTGGGGATGGTCTAAACCTCAATGCCTCCATCCTGGCATGCCAGAGGCTTGGAGGAGGAACAAATACAATTTTGTAATATGTATCAAGGCAATTCCCCTCCAGTGGCGCTAAGACAACAGCTTGTTAATATGAATCTTTACGGTCAGGCAAGTTGTCTGAGTTCTCCAGGCATAGGTTTAAATGCCTGAAGAACTCAGGGAGCTTAATCCCATGGGATGTTCCATTTGTCATGTAGAAAATGGGAATAATAATTTGTTTTTTAGGACTTATTATTTGATTACCAATTCTAATATTTGTTGCAGTAAAAAAGTGTTAAATATTCTAATTCTGATCTCTTTCCTGTTTGGGTGTAGACCTACTTTCCGGGAGGACATAAAACCTTTCAAGACTTTACTGAACCCCAGGAAACCCCAGCAGTTGAGCCTTATTATATACAGTCAAATGAAAACAGTAGTTTACTAAGCTTTATCTCCATTCCCTAGGATTACATGCGAATAAAATATCATGTGTGTATTTTCCTGGGGACAACTGAGAAGAATTTGAATTGTTGATTACTGGAACTGAGGGTACAGTGTTTCCTTCTTTTTTTTTTTCTATTTCTTTTAATATGATTTGTGTAAAAAGTAATAATAAAAGGGATTACACTTATTCATCCATCAACAAATATCTATTGAGTATCTACAATGTGCTAAGCACTGTTTTCAGTGATACAAATACAGTGGCAGACAAAAATCCCCATTCTCAAAAAAAAAAAATCTCCATTTTTACTTGATGAGAATTATGAAGATAAATAAAACAAGAAGGTGGACAGGGAGTGCTCTGAGGGGTTGCAATTTTAGATTGGTGACCAGAGAAAGCCATAGTGAGAAGGTGACCTTTGGGTGGAGACCAGGAAATAAGGAAGCAAATCATGTGGCTATAAGGGCAAGAGCATTATTGACATGGAATAGCAAGTCCAAAGGGCCTGTGGTAGAAGTGTGTCTGGTTCACACAACCACAAGGGGTTAATCTGACTAGAGCAGAATGAACAAGGGCTAGAGCACTGAATGTTAAGTCAAAGAGGGAACTATGTTATGTTTGGTTATCTATGAACTATGATGTGTACCCTGAAATGGGAAGTCATTGGGAGGGTTTGAAGCAGAGAAGTGACATGATTTGACACACCCTACAAGAAGATCAGTTCAGTTGCTATGCTGAAATAGACTATAGAAGGGCAGGTGTAGAAGCAGACCAGGTAGGAGGCTATTTTGCAATTATCGGTATATGAGATGATGAAGGTTTCTATTGGTGGCAGCGTGGAAGTGATAAGATTCTGGATATATTTTGAACAAAGACGTCATTACTGAGATGGAAAAGGTTGGCAGGGGAGTGGCCTTGGGTGTGGGGAAGATCAGGAGCTCATGGGACACGTTGAGTTTCCAGGGTCCATCAAGCATGCATCTACGTGTTGGAGAGGAGACCGTTGGATAGGAGAGTCTGGAGTTCAAGCAAAGAGCCCACCGAGAGATCTACATTGTAGAGAGATCTACATATACTCTAACATTATTTACCCTCGGATTACATAGGATAAACAGAGTCCAAGGTTTAGAGAAAAAAAGAGAGAAATGGGTACATGCTAAAAATGTTTATTTTTTGTGTTTAAATTTGAAGGACTGACCAATTTTCTTCCTTCTATTGAAGCTCAATTAGAAACACCTGTGAGATGCATCATCCTCAATCCAACTTTGCCATTAGATCCTTTAATTCATTAAAGCCCCGCTATTCTGTGGATTAAAAACCACCTTACCTCGCAGGATAATGTCTGTGCATGAGTTGTGGCAGGAACAAGTTTCTTTTCTTTAAATTCCAAGAGACAGTCATAAACCTGCAGAGAGGCAGCGCTGGGAGAATGACATGTTGATAACGGTACCATTAACGTCGGGGGTCAAAAGATCTGCAAGCGGAGAGCCAGGCCCGCCACGGCACCAGCAGCCGAGCGGCTGGTGTGCTGGCCTTTCCTAAGGTGTCTGTCGATGTCCATCAGAAACGGGCCAAGTCAGGTGGCTCCCACCCTCCAGGGGCTTGGTTATTGGCGTCCACTGGAATCTGATCTTCCCCAGCCAGAGTCATTGATGAAAAGAAATGCAGACATTTACTCTTGTTAAATTAACAAGTGGGGTTTCCAGGGTGGAGGCCAATAGGGATTTGGAACCAGAGACCTGTAGGAACCTCTGTGCCGGGCAAAGGCCACGGCATGCGCTGTGTGGCTCGGGGTTCTGCGGAGGATCTGAACAAGAGGCCGGGCATGCAGCAAGCGCTGATTGCACTTGGCTCGTATCTGTTTGTTTCCTTTTCCTCCCTTAATCATCCAGCAAAGTTTCAGTCACAAAAATTTCAGCTTCAGGGCGTCTGGATGGCTCAGTCAGTTAAGCGGCTGCCTTTGGCTCAGATCATGATCTCAGGGTCCTGGGATGGAGCCCTGCATCAGGCTCTCTGCTTAGTGGGGAGCCTGCTTCTCCCTCTCCCGCTGCCCGCCACTCCTCCTGCTTGGGCTCCCCACCTCTCTCTCTGTCAAATCAATAAGTAAAATCTTAAAAAAAAATTTTTTTTTTCAACTTCATCTCTGCTGACCTGAGGGATTTTTTCCCATACTGGGATCTGGAGTTGGCTTGAGGACACGCAGCCAGGTCTCGCTCTGTGGTCCCACCCTTCTTCTGTTAGGAATCTACTTTCTCTCACAGATGGAGAGATGAGGCCCAAGAGGCCAGCTGTGCCCAGCCTTCCTCCATCCGGATCTGGGCTGATGGTGCTTCCTTGGGCTCCCTCCAAGACCTTGCTCAGATCAGCCTGGAAGTGAGAAGGCTGGTGCCCTGACGCAGGGCCTGCAGGGGACACACAACCTGCGCAGGTGAGCAAGGGAATCCCTGTAGTGACAGAACTCCTGTGTGAGCTACTCCCAGAAGGAAAAAACATGCCTGAGAGGAATCAGGAGGGGCTTTTTCTCCCCAGCTTTCTTGAGATGTCATTGACAGATAACACCATGTGATTTAAGGTGCACCATATGTTGGGTTGATATCTGTATGTACACAAAAGGAGCACCCTAGTAAGTTAACATCTCCATCACCTCACGTAATGACGACTGTGTGTGTGAGACAGACTTTTGGAGATCTACCCTCTTCACCACTTTTAAGTACATAATACAGTGTTACTAACTATAGTCATCATGGCCCACATTACATCCCTGGAAGTTATTATTCTCATAACTGGTACTTGGACCCTTTGACCAACATCTCCCCATTTCCCCCAGCCCCAGCCCCTAGTTTCAGTCCCTATGAGCTCTACTTTTTTTAAACTTCACACACAAGTGAAAATATACGATACTTGTTTTTATTTGTCTGACTTCTTTCACTCAGCGAGATATCCATCCATATTGTCACAAAAGGGAAGATTTCTTTCTTTTTTATGGCTGAATACCATCCCATTGTGTATTTCACTTCCGGGTGTGTATTCAAAGGAAACGAATTATGAACTCAAAGAGATATCTGTACCCCCATGTTCACCACGGCTCTGTTCACAGCAGTCATGACACGGAACCAGCCTAAGTGCCCAGCAGGAGAGGAACAGACAAAGAAATCAAGAGCTTTAAAACAAGCGCCGTAAGAGCACCTCTTAGTTCACGCTACAGATGTTGCCACTTTCTCTTATTTTGAAGAATGTATTAACATGCGTCAAAAGACTGACCACATTTCACACTTAGCTGAAGGAAACACCCATATCCCCCAAAAACAACTTTAAAAGAATCTTTCTTAAAAATAGCATTTGAACAAAATTATAATCACATAGTAGATGCTATTGCAGAGTGTATAAAATTTTAGCCAAAAATTTTTTAAAAAAGAAATTTTCAGGATTAAAAAAAAATTAAGATACGTAAACAGGACTGTAGATCTCTCATTTCCTGATTTCAAGAAACAAAAAGGAATACTTTTTTAAGAGTTATTTATTTATTTGGGGGGGGAGGGGCAGAGAGTGAGAATCTCTAAGTAGACTCCCCGCTGAACAGGGAGCCCAAGGCCGGGCTCCATCCCACCACCCATGAGATCATGACCTGAGCTGAAACCAAGAGTCAGATGCTCAACTGACTGAGCCACCCAGGCACCCCAAAGAAGAGCAGTTTCTTAAAAGCATTTTTATTTGTCCCGAGTTTTAGCCTCAAGGAGAAAGGGTTGTAGACCGATGCTTAGGGTCCTGTCGGCCATTTGTGGTGGCCACTTTGTGATCCCAGGGTCCTCTAGAAGCAAAGGAACTGGGGGAGGAAAGAGGAACTGCCCACCTAAATTAACCCTTCGTAAGCTAAGAGGTTTGTGTAGCTCTTCTCTGAGGACTGCTGTAATATTGTGATTTATAATAAGAATTATGTATTTGGTCCTGAAGCTGGCTTAGAGCTCTTAAAACCCTTGGAATTTCCAAAGTGAGGAAATTGACAAAGATGTCTTTTTTTTATGTTAATGGGGTGACTTCTGGAATGCACCTAAGGTTAAGGGCAGGTTGCCAGGAGAACTAACCATGTAATTAGACGTCAGATTTTCAGTCCCTTCCCCTACCCCCACCTCCACCTCTGGGGAACCAGAGGGGCTGAAGGTTGAATCCATCCCCAGTGACTAATGACTTAATCAACGACCCCTATGTAATGAAGCCCCCAGAAAAGCCCCAAAGGACTGGGTTTGTTAGAATTTCTGGTTTCGTGACCTTGTGGAAATCTAGAGGAGAGTGGAAGTGGGCATGGAAGTTCCGCACCCCTTCCCACATGCCTTATCCTATCTATTTCTTCCATCTGGCTGTTCCTGAGTTATATCCTTCTATAATAAACTGGTAATGTAGCAAGTAAAATATTTCTTTGAGTTCTGTGGGCTATAGCAAATTAATCACATCCAAGGAGAAGGTCATGGGAATCTCTGGTTTATAGACCGTTGGTCAGAACTACAGGTAACAGCCTGGGCTTGTGACTGGCATCTGACATGGGGGGGACGGCAGCAGTCCCAGGAGACGTGACCCTTTCCCTATGGGATCTGATGCCATCTCCCAATAGAGAGCGGCAGAACTGAGATCAATTACAGACATCCACTAGCACCCCGACAACTGTTGCCGGGGGGCCCCCACACCCATGTTGGAAGTTCTCAGAACACGCAAAAGAACTGCCTTCTGAGAAATGTACCAAGCTGAAATTCCCTGCCCATTGGCCAGAGAGTGGCCCCGACGGGTGAGCAGTTTCCAGCTCCCGCAGCAGCAAAGGCCTCCAGGTAATGGGGCGCTCACCTTCAGCAGAGCCTGCAGCCATGGGGAGTGGAGAAGATCGTACAGGAGACACACTCCATTCACGTCTCGGCTGTAGAACAGATTCAGCTCTCGCAGCACAAGCCTCAGGATCTGGGAGAGACCTGGGAAAGGGAGAGGGCAGAGGTGGGCGGCGAGTGGCGGTGAAGAAAGGCAGGTGTAAGTGTGAAAGAGAACTCCGACAGCGGGGACGAATGAGAGGGCATGACACTGGGCTTAAGGCCAAAGGCTCTGGTTCTATCACTGTAGGAACTTCAGAAAGTCATCCATCGACCTGAAGCCCAGTGTCCTTGGGGCAAAATAATCTGCTAGCTTTCCCATAGGGTTGTTGCTAACATTAGATGAGATAATAGATCATTTACAGATGTAAGATTTTATGAGAGCAATATTCTTTCCTTTCCCCCACCTTATCAGCCTTTGGTTTATTCCAAAATTATCTAGTTGTTTTCTGGATCCTCCTTCTCTAATGCAAATAGTCATTTGTTTTCGCCTTTTCTGAAAGTTCTCATTGAAAGTGTTGAAAAACTCTGACTGTTGGAGCGTCTGGGTGGCTCAGTTGGTTAAATGTTAGACTCATGGTTTTGGCTCAGGTCATGATCTCAGGGTCATGGGACTGAACGTCCAGTCTCACTCTGCCCTCAGCAGGGAATCTGCTTGAGATGCTCTCTCCTTCTCCCGCTGCCCCTCCCCCTGCTTGTGCCCTCTCTTTCTCAAATAAATAGTAAATAAATCTTTTAAAAAAAGTACTCTAACTGCCAATAAGTGTTTAATACAAATCTCAGGATTCCACTGATTAAAGGAACTGAACAGATTTCAGCGAATGCCGGTTTGTTTTTTTTTACATGTTTTCATAGGCATTCTATTTTTGTAGTGATATTTTTAATGTGAAGTTCCAAGTTTAAATAAAACATTAAGGAAAAGAGAAAAAAGGATTCTGAATCCACTGTGCCGATCACCTTCCTTCGTGCCTTGGAAATTGCTTACGTTCATCACTAATACAGGTAGTGTCCAACAAGTTCCTTATAAGAATCACAATAAATCTATCTAGAAGCCCTGTCCCTAAATTCAATCTCACATCTAGAGTGACATTAGAAGGTCTTTCTGGTCCAGGAAGGAGTCCGGGCACCACATACCATTCTCCGGATGGGTTGCCGTGGATGGTTTCATGTTCTTCTTGTCCAGTGGATGTGCTCCTCTGTCTGACTGTATCCTTCCAGCCCAAGCTTTCGGGCGGAACTCAGCACTGGGAGCAGACCTGTAAACAGGACACAGCTCACTCGGTCAGGCTGGCCCTGCAGCTCTCACACGCTGGAATATATTTTCAACAACATTTACTGAGCAAGTGGAGCCCGATGCTACATCTGGGGACCCGTGTCCAACAAAACACTTGCCCTTGGCGCTTACTCTCTAAATTAACCAACCCTAGGAGTGAGCATTACTATTTCATGGAATACTCCTTTTTTTTTTTTTTTTTTTTTAGCAAGTAACAAACAAATACTTGTTTATTTCTCACCTAGTTAATTTTACCACCCATCAGAGCTCAAAAGAGCCTTCCCTGGCCGGACTCCACTCAGGGACCCTGTTCCCTCTCACTGCACCTACAGCTCTTCTTGGCACTGATCACAATGGCAAGAGGCGTGGTTACGTCTGAGGCATACTCTTAGAGGTTATTTTCTATGTGGCTTTAGGAAGGAAACCCAAAATAGTAGTGGCTAAACAGGGTAGAAGTTTATATCCTGCTTATATAAAAGTGTAGAGGCAGAGGCAGTTCAGGGCGGGTAGGGCAACCTTGCTCCATGAAGTGCTCAGAGAATGGGCTCCTTCCAGCTCCCTGCTCTACCTTCCTGGGGTGTGCCGTGGTTCCCATCTTCCTGTTCCAAAATGGTGGTTGGAGCTCCAGCCATCACCTCTACTTTTCAGCCAGCAAAAGGAGGATTAAGAAAATGAGGGCAAAGGGAACATGCTCTCTGTTCTTTGTGGAAATTTCACAGAAGTTGCCTTATATAATGAAAAATCACCTTATGCCCTGGTATAACTTTAAAACACCTCACTGGACTTCCACGTTGCTGGAAAAAAAAAAAAACCCTTAAAATTAATTATCAGAGACTAGAACCCAGCTTTTCTTTACCTAAAAATACAAAGTATTTTGCATACTTTTAACATACATTGAATTTTCTGAAATGCTACTACCATAATTTAGAAATGAATTCACCTTGTTTTGCTTGGACTTTATCAAGTTGTTCACTCTCTCCAAAAATCATGTCAATAATGGTGAGGCTATTTTGCTTGATACACCTTTCATTGGCTTTTCCCCCCTGCCTTGTCTTAATAAATATCCCACTCTGTTACTGGTATTTCCTGGGATCACTTTCCCAACAAATTATCCCATTAGAATCCTAAAAACTTAGCATTTAGGGCATCACTAGAACATACCACTATCTGGCTGTTATCTGTGTCTGCATTCAAGGCTGCAGCTGTGTCCCAGGTGGATTTTTTCTTATAGGTGCAAACAGGTTGTTTCATTATATCTTTTGGTGTAGTGGTAGTTCATTTACCTGTTGAAATTTACAATGTCTTATTGACAACATTTAACATCTTTTTATTACTAGAGCACCATACAGATGGTTTTTCTTTTTTCTTTTTTGAAGTTGTGTGTAAGCAAGCATCTTATTTTCAGTTTCCCCAGAATTAGACACAGAGCAAGGATCCCAGTGGGATGATTTGTTTGGAAAGTGATCCCAAGAAATACCAGTAGCAGAGTGGGATATTAAGACAAGGCCAGGAGAAAAAGCTCGTGAAAAGTGTATCAAGCAAGTAACTACTCTGGGCACTATGGAGCTTAATCCCTTGGGGGACTAAGGGACAAGAGTGGGGGGTATTTATACATCAATGTTGCCAGTCATTGGGTGAGGGCTTTTGTTAGCAAATGTTACTTCTAGTCCTTCCAGCCTCCTACATTCATACTCTCAGATAGTGAGTGCAGGCGCTGGCCCTTTGAGGTTGGCCTGGAGGGCACCAAAGCCATAAGGACCAAGGGTCTATGGGCAGGGCAACAATAGCATTTGTTATCCAAGTAGGATAATAAAGGAGAAATTGAGATTTTTAAAAAAAAGGAGTATTGCAAATTAGTTTTTAGAGCCTGGGATATTGCATCTGATATGGGTGAGAACCGCTGTCTAGAACTTAGACAGGCTGTGGAGTTGAAGCAGGAAGGCTGTCTAGAAAAAGACAGATCATTATTATGTTGTCCCTAAATTCCCAGACAGTGAGAAGGAAAGCAGTCATAGAATTTTAAACAACTGTCCCATACACACTGTCTCCCAGTCACACTGAAGTATTCTACTTTCCTAGATTCTACCAAAACCTGACATCACATGCTTTTGCCATGCCCACCACCACCCACCTTGCCCAGCCCCAACCAAGTTAGGTTAAACCCTGCCATTTTCCTGTGTTCTAGTTTTTGAGCACTCTGTCGAATCACTTAGCGCAACATTTGCATGTATGACTTACCTCCCCTCCCTAAGAGGGGAGCACATGGAGGGAGGGTAGGTCATTGAAAAGGGAGGTGAAGGCGCCTGGGTGCCTCAGTGGGTTAAGCTGCTGCCTTTGGCTCAGGTTATGGTCTCAGGGTCCTAGGATCGGGTCCCCCATCGGGCTCTCTGCTCGGCGGGGAGCCTGCTTCCCTCTCTCTCTCTCTGCCTGCCTCTCTGTCTACTTGTGATCTCTATCAAATAATAAATATAATCTTAAAAAAAAAAAGAAAGAAAAGAAAAGAAAAGGGAGGTGGAGTATCTGCCAGACAGACAGAAGTCAGAGCAGACAGACGGGTCCGACACCAAGCCATCATATTCAGGCAAATGCTGGAAATGCTACCCAAAGGGCAGTTCACAGGTTACATCCTTGGAGAGGAAGTACAGATTACACAAGCCTACCGCTATCTCTGCATCGTAAGGTGGACCACATTTCTTCCATATTAATGTCCGAATGCCCACGTGCTGACCCAGGCTGTCCATGCAGCAGCCGGGGGCACCCGACTATGCATTCCAGACTTGACCTGATTTGTGAGGGAGGTTTACAGATAGACTGTGATTTCTATAGTGAATTATTTTAATTATTAACATAGCTTCCAGTAACTCTATGCTGACTCCAGGGTTGCAGAAAATGAATTAATACATGCTAAAAAGCTTATGTTGAGTAAAACCTCCTTTCCCATGAAGTCATAAACAGCGATTTTCATTTCCATGACTTAGGGGGAATTCTAAAAACAGAGGTCACTGTCAGGTTCCTGTGACGAATTGCTAGGGACTGAATGGTATTCCCCCAAATTCAGATGTTGGAGCCCTAACCCCACTGTGCCGGTATTTGGAGATGGAACCTTTGGGAGATAGGAGGCTGAGATGAGGACACGACGGTGGGGTCCCCATGATGGCATTAATGCCCTTGTAAGCAGAGACATCAGAGAGCTTGTCTCCATCAATGTCTCTGCCAGATGAAGACAGAGCAAGGAGGAGTCTCTTCGAGCTAGGAAGAAGGACGGCACCAGAACCACCCATGCTCCTACCCTAATCGTACCAGCCTCCGGAACTGTGGGGGGCGGGGGGGAAGAAAACCTCTGTTGTTTAAGCCACTGAGCCCCTGGTATTAGCCCAAGGCAAGACAAGAAGTTTAGAAGGAAACTAGGAAAATGGTTTTCCCGCTCTCCAGATATTTCTGAAAACTACTGTGATGCTTCGGTTCACAATCTGCTTCACAATTCTCGTCTGCATTAACCCATTCGGGGCCTGGCTTCTGTGTGGGTCATGTCTGCAGAAGTTCCAGAAGGCGGACCCCATGCTCTCCAGTTCACTGCTGAAGCCTCAGCATGTGTAGCAGGGTCTGAGCTGTATTTCCAGTCATTGAGAAGGGGTGGAAAAATGGGAGGCCGAAATATGAAAGTCAGAAGCTGATACTTCCCCATGGAGGTCAAGAGCAGCTCGGACGTCAGTCCTCAGGTGGGAGTTGGGGATACCAGAGGCCTGTGTCCTTCCTCTCTACCTCAGCCTGGTTATATTGACTTCAACCTCCTTCCCTATCAAACTTTGAAAAACTTTCATTTTTCAGACATGGAAATGGACATTCAAAGAGGTATTCGGTGCAGTTAACAAGTAGCAAAATCAAAAGTTTTCCTCTTGTTTCTGGGACTAGCCCTGACAAATGCCCGGCAAAGGACTATAATCGCTCTTCCTTGCCTTTTCTTAACTTCTGGACCAAGGTTGTCAGTTAGAACTTACCTATTTCTGCTGTCATGAGGAGAAGTCACGATAGAGGCTGCAGGTAGACATAAAGCTACATGCGACTCTGGACTAATTAAGTAAGAGAGGAAGGGTCACCAGTTCTTATTCACTGAGAAGCTGCATTAGTGTTATGGACTCATGAGGAATTTGTCCTAAATATTACTTTAAAAATCAGTATTTCCATGAACTTATTAAAATGCAGTGATTACTATTAAATACCACTCCCCTTACCCCTATTGAGCTCAATTTTCAAAACAATGCTTCCTACTAGACAAAGCCTGAAAAAGCACTTGAAAACTTAATGCCCATACAAAAATGGCCCAGCTTCCTCTGGGTAAACGCTCCGTTTTACTCAGTCTGCCACGACAACGCATTATTCCATCCTTAAGAAAGTTTCCCAAAGCAAAACCTGCTCTTTGAAAATCACAGAATTCTCCATATGATTTGGGTTACAATGAAACTAAACCATTCAAATTTAATTACCCAGAATTTTATCTGTAGCTATTAAAAATTCACAGAAGCACAGACATTTATAGATCTCTTCTGGTAACTGAGGATCTTTTGGTAGAGTCTCTTACCTGCAAGACCGCAAGCACACAATGTTACTCCGATCCAGAGAAAAGCTTTGGTAGAAAATACTAGTGGGCTATTAGCTGCCAAAGTCACCTCACTGTTCTAGATAAAATCTCTGCACATCCTCTTTGATTTAATCCACAGAAGCCTAACCCAGCCTAACCACTAAGATACTCATAAGCTTCCCCTGTCACAAATCTTCAGTATTCCTCACACTGAGAAGTCCAATTTATATCATTTTCAGTCGTCACTGTGGTATTTTCTCTCAAAATATCACCACGTGGTTAACCACGACAGACATTATTTTTGTTGACCACTCCACAATAACATACACCCAACAGATGATAGCATTTTTAA